GAAGCCGGCGACTGATATGCCTCGCCCAGGAAGAGCGCAATGATGGTGCCAACTTGGGCCAGTGAAGCAACATCCTCCACAACTAGACTGAAGAACAAAACGATAGCAACTTTTCCCCTTCCCCCAATTCCCCAATAAAAAATCTTTAAAAAAAAAAAAAGAATTCATCTACAATAAAGTATCACTTGCTGTTCCTTCCATTTATCAGCGGCACCCAGGGTTTATAAATGTGTCATCGAAGACTAGTAAATGAAGTCTTGGATGACATGAAGCACAGATGCAGAAGAGGGAAACACTGCTAATTAAAGGCCGCAAACAATCAGAATTAACCATCTTTCTATGGTTCAAGATATTTTTGTTTTAGATAAAACTAGAAGCTGCTTTACCAACCCCTTATAATTCAGTAGCTATCACTTTGGTTATGGAGAGTAAATGGTTAATCATGATATTAAAAGGGGAGAAAAAAGACAACTTACTTCATCATTAAGCCAGTGATAGTTCTTCAAGGTCTGGATATCTCCTCGAGTGATTCGTAATTTGAAAGCACTACTTAGGATCTCATCCTGTGGGCCATGGCCTAGGGCATTACCAATTTCCTTTTCCATGTCCTGAATTTAGAAAGTCCAAAGGTTGCTACTTTAATATAGAACCACTATCAGATACTTAAAGTCTGAGTCTAAAAAAGAAAATTTCATCTCTGTAATACCTCACCCTTGAGAAAAATATACTATCAAAGACCTACTAAATTGAAGTATAAAAAGATGTAAACTTAGACTACAAAGCAGTCTTACTAATGGTTATAAAAGACAGTGGTTGAATTACCAGCTTCTGGAAACAATACTTTGGTAATCACACTTACATTTAAAGTATAGTCTTTTTTTTTTTTCAGCTGAGCCATCCTGCTACCAGTTGGCAGCTCAGCGGCTGCTCAGCTCAGGCCGAAAAAGAAAATTTCATCTCTGTAATACCTCACCCTTGAGAAAAATATACTATCAAAGACCTACTAAATTGAAGTATAAAAAGATGTAAACTTAGACTACAAAGCAGTCTTACTAATGGTTATAAAAGACGGTAGTTGAATTACCAGCTTCTGGAAACAATACTTTGGTAATCACACTTACATTTAAAGTATAGTCTTAATTATCCCACTACCATTTAGGCAGCACTATGAGCCAAGAATGGTAGCAGCTGCTTGAAGCACATCATTAATCCCTGCTTGTGGGGAAAAATCATCACCATGAGCAGGTAACACTCAGAACTCCGGTTATGCGCTCAAAGTCATCAATTATTAAATGGCAGAGCCAATATTATGAACTCAGGAGTGTCTAACTTCCTACCTTTGCTCCTTTCACAATTCTATAAAAGAATCTTCATACTTGCCTTATGTCCCTCCTAAACTTTTATTGAAGCACATCAAAGTGATAAAACCAGGACACTTAAGAGATCATACTGTCCATTTTGACATGAGCAGAGTACACAAACAAGCAGAAACTGGAAAACTAGGCAGCAGTCAAGCAACTGAGTCCTTACTGAATAGATGGCTTTATGATTCTAAAGAATCATGCAGATAAATGCATATTTAAGCTAAAAAACTGAATCTATAAACCCAAAAGAGATTGTTTCAGCCAAATACTGTTAATACCACTTCCCACCACTGCACACAATTTTGCAATTTTATGGCTCTCTCCCTGCACCTGCACACCCAGCATGCCGTGAGTGCTCAAGAGGTATTCACTGAACAGGCCTGACTACCACCTACTAAGACGACAATGGAGAAGGAGCCAAGATATGGGCTCTCCTTTAAAATGAGAATTTTTAAATACTTTCATTTCCTTGTTTTCTACAAATTTTCACTATTTTCAAATGCAATAATCAATGAAAGAAACATTTTAGTAAACCATAATCACTTAAAAGAAACCTGCAATGAACTCAATCCTAATGCCAAACCATACTATATAACTCAAAATGCTTTAAGATTAGAAAAAGATTCTACAAAGAACCCATTATATTCCAAGATATGTGAGAATTATGTCTCCTCACATTTGTTGAACATCAATCTAATTCCTTAGGCCACCTTCACAGCTCACTAAACGTCAATATATCCAGTGATTAAATAGCTCTTAGACCTGACTTTTTTCATATATTCACCCCTAGCCTGGAGAAACTCCTCAAAACAGTCATTCAAGTCTTGAATAACGGAGGTTATTTAAAAACATGTCTCTTATTCTGATCAACACAAGAAATAATACCTCTGTAAGTTCAAGAAGATCATCCACCCTTTTATCCTTCTCTTTGCCTGAGCAATTTTTTTCTTTTGTCTCAAGTATTGACATTTTCCTCCTGAGTAAGCCATTGCTTCCACTGCCCAGGCGGAGTCGGGCTGACACTTCTTCGGATAGGTCAGGTTCCAGCTGGTGTCCCCTCCTCTGATCAAAACAGTTTCTATATTCTAGTCACATGTTTGATATTTGCACATATAAGCATTCAAAATAACATGAAATACAAACCAATGTCATTATCTTGAAAGAAAAGAGAATTAACAAATGCCGAAATGAGTAGACATAGCATATTTGCCTGTAGCTGCAGAGGGACCAAAAAGTGTTCAAGACCGAAGGCTCACAGGACACATCAGTTATAAACCATGAAACAGAACAGTCATCATTTTCCCTGAAGGTAGCAAGAAAGGTATTTTTGGCTCTCTTATTTGAATTAAAAATAATAGTTAAAAGATATTTTAAAGTTTTAAAACAGCAAAATACATGACCCATAGTCCCATCACTCAGAATAAACCACTATCTTTATATTAAGTAAACTTGCTCTGTTTCTTCTTTTAAAATATATATATAATATAGAAAAATTTACAAAATATTAATGTATCACTTAATTTTTGCAAAATTAACACTTAAGTAAGCACCATTCAGGTCAACAAGTTGAATTCTGTCCGCATCCCAGAAACTTTGATAAGATCCTCCCTTTGAAACACTTAATACTGAATTTAATCCAGTAGGTAAACTATTTGAAAATTAGGAAATGTATTTAGAAATAGAGCTTTGGACAAGAACCACACTCTCAACACACATAGCTATTACTCTTCACTGTAGCTAAGTGCCAGATATACCAGTCCTAGGAAACCAGGAGCTGCTGGCCCTTCCCGGTGGTCGCAGACAGCAAAGCCTGCAGGGTTCAGCAAAAACAGTGGCTGGATGTAGTCTTTAGCCAGGTAACAAATTATTATTATTACAACCATCATCACCACCACCACCACCACCACCACCACCACCACCCTGTCCTCGCTCAGGCTTAGTTGCCCTCTTCTTTCAGCTTTTGTTCCATAGGTCATAAATGATAATTCAACACAAAGGCTTCACTCTGAATGACAGGAATGGGGAACATTAGAGAAGGGAATATTCTAAGACTAATGATTTAAGACCATAGCTTAAGAGTAATTCTTATGAAGAGATCTAATGGGGGAAAAAAAAGTTGGTCAAACTGATATTGTACTTAACACAAAGCAGTCTCCTAAACTTTGGTATTTGTATGTATCTAAAATGTGAAATAATCTAAAACTTCAAGTTTGCATTTAATATAGGAATATATTTCTTTTGAATATGGAGTGCTTGCCACTATTATTAAAAATGTTGGTATCACTATGGAGATCACTGGAACACTTTTTATTCAGATACTTATACAGAAAAAGTTAAATCGAACTAAGCATAAAATTGATATCTTCAAGTAAATCTGAAATCTTGACTCTGAAAATAAAGTCCTAAACATATATCTTTTTTAGAGATGTATGCTTTCTAAAATTCTCTAAAAGAAGCCAGGCAACACAGATAAGGGCTGAGATGGAGGCACACTGGTCTCTCTTATAAACAAAGGTAGCTACTGCTCAGGGATAAAAATCCAGCAACTCAGAAGGAAGCTAAAGTTGTATATCTGCAATGTCTGCTGCTTTTTCAAAGAAAACAATAGAAATAGAAATAAAAGTAACATATATCATCTTCCTTATTTTTCATGGGCACCAAAATTTTAATACTAAGTCAGATGAAAGAGTAGAAAGATATAAAATTTAACTAGGGTTTCTACTTACACCTTCATTTTCAAGTCTGATTCCAACTGTCTTCTCTGTATCAGAAATTTTCCCCTTTGAACACCTGAGGAAAAAAATATAAAGATTACAGGCTGGGTGTTTTCAGCCTGGTACAAGTTAAGACTAGTTTTAGAAATAAGATTTAATAATTTGCAAACAAAAATTGCCTTAAGCTTATATAGTCCTCTAAACCAGGGGTCAGCAAAATATTTTTGAAAAGGATCAGACAGTAAATATTTTAGACCTTGCAAGTCTTAACAGTTTTTGTCACATCTTCTCAACTTCTATTATAATTTAAAGGCAGCCATAAGCAGTATGTAAATGAATGAGCATGACTGTGTTCCAATAAAACTTTACTTACAAAAATAGGTAGGCACACCAGATTTGGCCCATGCGTCATACTTTCCTCAACTCTGCTATAAATGAACCATCATCCAGAATCCTAAGGCATACAGAACTACCTTCTCTGTTCACATACTAGAGATGCCCACCACACCCACACTCTTATATAAGTGCCACCTTCATCTCCCAATCCCTAATACCTAGGAGAGAAAGGCACCCTCCCAAGTTAGAGTGAGCATCTGACACAAAAGCTACCTATGTACCCATATATACTGACTAGCTACCAGAGCTGAGGAGTGTTCACAATTTCTCAGATGCGGTTACTCACAAATATAGCTCACAAAGTAAGAAAATAATGTCAAAAAAAAACTTAGAATGAACTGAACCATGTACCTCTTTTCACTCCTCACTGAACATAGAGGTCCCCTTGTTTCAACAATTCTGTCTGTGAGGATGGTAAAGAAAAAATTACGTGTTTCCTTTATTAATCAATCATATAGCTAGAATTTCAACTTACACAGTTTCCAAAGTATCAAGACACTGACTTACACCGAAACGTTAGAAATTCAAAGACACTAGCCCTTACGTATCAAGTTGCTTAAAAATGCATAAATCGCTTTCTTAAATACGATCTTTAGTGTGAACTGACTGATATCTGCTCATTTGGTAAGCTATCACTTAGTGTCATTTAGTGGAAACAAGTAGAGAAATACAAGGAAATTAAAATCAGGAATATAAAGAAATTAATTTTAGGCTCACAAAATATGTACTGCTATATATAGAAGCTAGGAATAATAATCAGGAGATAATTTATGAATCTGCTTCTTCCTGAAATAACTTTTTTACTAAACTACTGGTCCTGGATAAACCCCAGTCAATATCATGGGGTCTGATAAAGTTTTAAAGTCTGGTATACCATCTTTCACTCGTATGTTATTTTTCAATTTCATATGCACACGAACTCAGTTCTATGTATTAAAACAGGGCTAAAACTGGGAACTCACATTGTTTTGGAACAAACTGAGTTGTTCTGCCTCCATGATTCTGCTCTTCCCCCCAGCCTTTGGTCTTTATTGTGTCCATCTGACTCCTCTGAGAGCTTAGAAACACAAAGAGCAAAGACGATCAGCTACAAAAGGAGAATCTACCATAAATACTTATTATCTCTGTCTGACAAGCGTCTCCAAACAGGTGTTACTGATTACCCTGAAACATCAAATTACAAGAGACAGGATGCAACACAGCACCATCAGGGACTAGGATACAAGGAGTCCAATCCTGAATCTACTATTTCAGCCAAGTTACCTCGCCTCTAGTTTTTCTATTTGAAAACTGGATGTTCTCAATCCCCAGTGCCATCTTGACTGAAAAATCTTGTGAGATAAAACTCATGTTAAAAGATGGAAAAATTTTAAACAATATACTGAAATGGATCCTAAAACAACACAGCAAAATTAGGAATGTAAAAAGCAAAATAGCTTTAGGATTTTGCTAACACGAAAAAAACAATAATTCACGAAGCATACTGCTGCTTTCAACAATGGCTAGTCAAAATGGAGAAAATACTAACATTCTGACTAAACAAAGAGAATTAAAATTTTAAAAATTCACAACCAAAGTTCAAATTCCCAAATAAGTATTCCTTTATTATTTCTGCACTCAACAACCTAGGCAGTCTCATAACTTTTTCACCTTCCACTTGTTGTTACATATTAATAATTTCTGGAATCCCCTCTGCATATTCTCACTTGTTAGAATTATCAAGTGTGTATCAGTCCTGAGCTCACATATTTTTTTGTCCCCTTTTTATAAAGGAATATAAGACGAGACATCAACTCCTTTTGCCACTCTATTTGCTCATTAGCGTATATAATTAACAAGGAGTTTTTTAAGAAAAACTTCTTATGACTTGGGGTGACTTTTATCTTCTCTCTAAAGTGGAGTGTTTCCAACTGTGCTAAGATACATCCACTAAGATGTCTCAGGGACTATGGGGAAGCAGGGAGAGGGAAAGGGCAGGTGGGAGGGACAGGCAAGAGAGGAGAGGGGGAAAGAGAGGCAAACAGAGAGAGGCATTGTGGGAAATGTGAATCTTGGGGAGGTTGAAAAAATTCTCTGCTCTCTGACTTTAACCAGTGATTCCACTTTGCTATGACAGAATTTCAATTGAACAAAGGATTCTAAAGCTAACAGAAAATTTTATTTTGTAAAACCACTGTTCTATATAATCCATTACTACATACAATTTGTACAAATTGCAGGGCTGGTTCTCTCAATGTTAACCTCTTTTTTCCACAAAGCCCTTCCTATCAATTTCCTCTCCAAAAATAAGGAAAACAATGTCTGGCAAAGCATTTATCTTGTTAGATCATCTTTACCTATGATGAGTTGAAGTTACAGGAGGAACCGAGTTTCCATGACCACTTTCTTTAAGTCGCTCCAGTAACCTCCGGTACTTCTCTCTTTCCTCTTTCTGAACACCCTAAATAAAAGAAAGCATGTTAGATAACCTCTAGAACATTAAACCTATAATTAAATCATAAACAAAGACTAAGAGGTCAAATGCAGACTATAGATGGGTTTTATTTGTCAGCAGTGTTTTTTAAATTACTTTAAATTAATTGCCAACTTTATAAATTGGAAAGAAAAATCCAAAAATCTGCCTCTTTTGAAAAACTGAATCAACAATCTGGAGCGAGGCAGGGCTATTCCCTTCAGATGGGCCATTTGCTCCATCCTGCTTCACTCATTCACATTATCTCCTAGACCTTGATGGCATCGAGTTTTTGACAGTAGACCTGGGTTAACCACAAAACAACTCAGCAGGAATAACCCACTTGCATATGCAGAACATTCAGCTTCCAAAATGGAACTGGTCTCACCAGTCACCAATGACTTGCTACGGCCAGATCCAAGGCACTTTTTCAGCCTTTATGCTACTTGACCGCTCTCTTCAGCATCTCGCCCTGCTGATTTTGCCTTGCCTTCCTGGACAATACACTCTCCTGATTTCTTCTTATCTTCTCAGTCTCCACTGCAAATTATTTCTTCTTCTGCCTGCCCCAAATGCCGATGGTTCGCCCATTATCTCTTCTCACACTACATTCTCTCCCTAAATAATCATCAGCTCCCTTGATTTACACAACACCAATATGCAGCAGATTCAGACATGTGTCTCTAACCCTGCCTTCTCAAAATTCTACGGGCCAGGTTTTCTTGAATGTTTCACAGGCACTTTAAATAATGTCCAAAACTGAAGTCATCAACTTCCCCCTAAACACATAGGGTGGCTTGGTCAGTAGCAAGTATTTATCCAAGACTGAAATCTGGGGCTCAGGCTCTTCCCTCTAACTTTACATTACACTTAACCAATGAACATGGCCTTGCTAATACTACCTTCTAATATTTCTAGAATCTGTCCTGCGCATACCCCATATATATATATGCTCAGTCCAATCTCTGATTTCTCATCTAAGGTATTGAAGCTACTTTATAATCTCTCTCCTTAAAACCCCGTCCAGGGCTGCAGTCCATTCCTCTCTCTGCCTACCTCTGTTTGTTGAATACAACTATTTATATATAAGCTCCTGGAATACAGGGACCATATTTTATTCAATTTGAACTGCTGACAACTGGCACCCAAATAAATAGTTCTTTGATGAACTAAACTAAGTGGCTCAGAAAACTATGTATAATAGTAATAGGTGATGGTCCTGGGAAATGCAAGATACAGGAATAATTCTAAATTCTCCTGGAATAAGTGAAGACTTCAAGAGGGAAGTGAAGAGAAGACTGTTGATGAAGACATCATATTAAGTGCCCTGAAAAGGGAAGAGCAGACATGCACACCATTTACACCCCTTAGACAGTCACAGTTATTACAGCTTATAAAAGAAGCAAGTCAGAATAATTCACTCACCGCCCAAAAAAGAATTTCTAACCTTATTGTTTCTTAATATGACTCCTTTTTCTTTCTTATGGTGAAAATAATCTGGAAATTGACTAAATTACACATGTACAGAATATCTCTAGGAGGGTACAAACAAGTATCAGTGGTTACTTGAGAAGAGTCAAACAGGGTGCTGGGGCCGGGTATGGAAGTCAGGCTGCGCAATTTATAATCACTGTACTCCCTTTTATACCTTTTGAATTTTGTACCTTGGTACATATATTACTTATTCCCCCCAAAATTCATAAAATAGTTTTCAAAAGAGACCAGGCTAAAATGGCTTACCTCCTCCACAGTACAATGGGGACGCCTCAGACCCTTGCCACCCTCTTCAGTAATCATCTCTGTTACAACCTGTTCCTGAGGTTTCCACGTTAAAGAACTCTCTGGATTGCTTTTGCTATGGCGACGACCACCTGGTCTTCTGTTATAGCCTTCTGAGTTCAAAGTAAAACTGAGAGACAGAAACAAGTTTGCAAAGTTATCACCTAACTGCTTAAATTGCTGGACTCTAAGTTCCAGACCATTCTGTGATTAGGCTTCCCAGATTAAGCTTGCTCCTGGCAAATCAGACTACTACAGTTCACAAAGTTAGGTCTAGCTCTAGAGTAAGGGTGCCCCAGAATTCCACTATGGAATGTCTATTTCCAGTCACCAGACTGCTGCACGAAAGCCCCTGCCCTCTCCCTCATGACCATTTTTCAACCCCACCTCTGGAATTAGCTCCCCTATTACACAGACCCTCCTCTTGTACTGCACTTTTCCTTATGTCACTTGGCACCACTGGGATTAATGACTGGTATCATTATTTAATGTCTATATCTCACACTCAACTTTAAATTCCATAAAGACAGAGATTATATCCTTTTACTACTGTATCATACCTATCACATGATCTCAGCTGAAAGGCACTCAATAAATATCTGCTGGATGTTAAACCAATGAATGTAAATTAATAAATGCTAAAGAAATGGAAGCCATGAAGCCCCAACCTAGTCATTGCTGCTGGTGACAGAGCCTGCCTCTCTTGCCATTACCAATAATGGGACAAACTGACATGCCCTTCTTGACGTGATGTTTTAATAAAAAGAATACAACACCACATATATAGTATTTTTACCAAAAAACAAAAAACAAAAAAAAAACCACGCATACTCTAAAACAAATCATGAATAAACATCAGTCAAAATTAAGGGACATTCTACAAAAAGAAATGCTTTGTACTCTTTAAAAATATCCATGCTACTAAAGACAAAAAAAGACTGAGGAGTTGTTGCAGATGAAAGATCAACGAGACATAAAAATTAAATGCGGTACATAATTCTGCACTGAATTGTGGAAAAAGAATCACTTTATGGAGAAACTCAAATAAGATTATATAATAGCATATATCAATGTCAAATTTTCTGAGTTTGGTAATCTGTGATTATGTAAGTGAATGTCCTCATTCTTAAGATACAAACACACTTAAGTACTTACGATTAAAAGGGAATGGGTCTAAGATTTACTCTCAAATGATTCAGAAAATAATATTATGTAGATATGACAGAGAATAATAAAGCAAATTGGCAAAATAATTGGTGAAACTGGGTCAAATAAAGACAAAATACACAAAGCAAAAACTGACATAACTGGAGAAACAGACAAATCCACAATTACAGTAGGAAACATCAACACTCTTTGCTCATCAATCAATAAAAAAGTAGGCAGAAAATCAGTAGACGTGTAAAACATTATCAGCAAACTTGAGCTGACATTTATGGAATACTCTACACAATAGCAGAATACGCATTCTTTTCAAGTGCACATTGAACATCACCCAGGTAGACCATATCCCAGGCCATAAAACATATGTTAACAAATTTAAAAGAACCAAAACCATACTAAGTATATTCTCTGACCATAACAGGATTAAACTAAATAAAAGAAAGATATCTAGAAAGTCCCAAATATTTGAAAATTAGATAATATAATCCTACATTTCAGAATAACCACTGGTTAAAGAGGAAGTAAAACAGAAATTAGAAAATATTTTTAATTGAATGAAAATTAAAACCAACATTTCAAGATGTGTGGTATGTAGCTAAAGCAATGCTTATAGGACAGTTATAGCATTAAATGCGTAGAGAATAAGTTCTCTAAATATTTAAGTATGTATCTCTCTAGAACAAGGATATCTTTTACATAACCATAATACAATAACCAAATTCAGGAACTTTAGCAATGATACAATATGTAGCATGTAGCCCATATTCAAATTTCTCCAAAGATATTAAAAATATCCTTTGCAGCATTTTTTTTCCTATCAGGGATCCAATGCAGGAGCTCACACTGCATTTAGTTATCATATATCTTCAGTCTCCTTTAATCTGAACCAGTTTTCAGCCTTTCTTCATCTTTCAAATGAAGAGTACAGGCCCACTGTTTTGTACAATAAACCCTAAATTCATCTTTTTTTTTTTTTCTGAGCCATCCTGCCACCTATTGGCAGCTTAGCAGCAGCTTAGCTAAGGCCGGGACTTGAACCGCTGTTGTTCAGAGCTCAACCCCTAAATTCATCTTAACCTGTTTTCTCATTCTTAGATTCAGATTTTTTTTTCTGTTTCTTTAGGGTTTTAATTAAAAGTCAGCAGGGGCCGGCCGAGTGGCACGCTGATTAAGAGCTGGCTTGGGACCTCAGCTCTGAGCAGCAGGGCCCCAGTTCAGATCCCACATGAGGGCCAATGACACTGCCCTCTACAGCTAAGTGGTGAACAACAGCTTGACCTGCAGCTGGGCTGCAGTGGGCTGCCATAAGCTGCCATGTGTGACCGGCAGCCAGCGTGAGCGGCTGGCAGCCAGTGTGAGCTGCCAAGAGCCGCCATGAGCAGCCGTCCAGAGGCCTATGACCGATCTGCCTCAGCCAGGAAGAGCGCAATGATAATACCAACATGGGCCAGTGAAGCGACGTCCTCCACAACTAGAGTGAAGAACAAAACAACAGCAACTTGTCTGTTCCCCTCCCCCAATTCCCCAATAAAATCTTAAAAAAAAAAAAAAAGTCAGCACATAGCACTAAGAAGGTGGCATATAGATGATTTGTGAGTAACAACATGGCAAAGTAAATTAAAATTGTAAAAAATGGCTTCATCGTCCAATATCTGAGTTTTGCTGAATTCTGAGAGGCAGCAGGGTCCAGTGGACTTCCTTGGATAATGTACCCAGATTTGTTTTCTCAGTTATAGATTAGAAATGACAATACCATCAACCAACTTTATTGGAGAAAGAAATTAAACACTAAGTATACTATCTAAACCTAATTATAATTTGTTGGGGCAATCACTTAAGCATTTTCTGGAAATTCATGTCTAGAGTAATGATGAGACAGGGGGATTATAATGGTGGCACTAAATCTTCTATTTTGAGATTTGGATCAAGTAATATATACAGACTCAATTTGATGATGCTGTAGACAATGCTGATTCATTAAATTTCTATAAATCTCTGAAATATTAGTTTCATGTGTACAACACAGTGCAATAGTTATACTTTTTACCCCTCAAAGTGACAACCCCCCTCCCCCAATCCACCACCCCCTTTTTCCCCCCATATCATACATATCTATTACAATTCCCTTGACTCCACTCCCACACTATACTCCACATCCCTTGACTATATATATATTCAATTACAGTTGACATACAATATTATACAACATCGCTTCAGGTGTACTAGATTCAGATTATTGATTTTTGCTGAAATACAAATTTGGTGATGATGTCCTACTCAGTGCAATATAGCTGGAGTCCATGGTGTCAGTCTGTCCCACTGTGGGTGGTTTTAACTTTGATTCTCTGGTTAAGGTGGTGTCAAGCAGGTTTCTCCACCCTAAGGTTACTATTTTTCCCTTTGTAATTAATAAGTAATTTGTGGGGAGATACTTTGAGTTTATGTAAATATCCTGTACCACATCAAGCTTTTGCTTACTAGTTACAGCTCAATTGATGTTTCTTGTACATATCAATTATTACTATGATAGTTACAAAATAATGATTTTTTTTAAACTTTATCATTCCTTCTACACTTACTAGGTGGCATGCTGCTATAAAGATCTTTCCCTCCCACATTATTTATTTATTTATTAGCATCTGTATTCTTGTCTTTATTCATTGTGATGCTTAAATTGTCCCCAATTTGGCCACTGAAAGCCCCTTCAGGTTTCCTCCTGTGTCATGTTACATGTCCCCAGTGCCTGAGTGCTTCTTTAATTTCTGGCACAAGATGTTCCAAACTCATTTTGTACTTTCTCTCCTCGCCCTACAATCAGCCATTTATCCAGCTCCAGAGAGCCCTAGTTTTTAGTTACTGTCTCATTCTTAAATATGAATGGATAGGCAAGGATTACCAGTATTTGAATAAAGACTCTAATATGAAAGATAAGACCAAGACAAAGGGGAGAGGGGGATTCAGAGGAAGCAGACAAAGTAGGGAGGAGAAGAAATTTTAAAATAACTAACAGCTTTAGAGAAATAAGAAAAGATATTGCATCCTCCAAGATGCTTGGAGAAACAAAAAAACATGGGGACTAAGAAAGGGGAGGATGCTTACAACTTAAAAACTGTGAAGCCAGCAACAACAAAAAATCAGCAACAGACTTTTTTTTTAAAGGGCAAGGACAACAACAGAGAATATATACGAAAAATATATACGAAAGTTAGATCAATCCAGAACATCTAATATCCAAGCAGTAGAAATTCTAGAAAGTGAGAACACAGAAAGGAGAAGAAAATTACTCGTAAAATAATAACAGTACAGTGTATGAAAATTCATCAGGCTAGACACATGATTTCTGCACTTTTCTGTATGCATATTGTACTTCAAAAAAAAAGTTTAGAAGTGAACAATTATTTTTTAAAAGGTTTGCAAAATCGGATGCTATGGGCATATACGGTAGAAAAAGTAACACACATCTGAGTTCAAGTCTCTCACTAACTGTATGCTATTCAGCAAGCCACTCAACTCAGAGTACTTACTTAAGATTACATAATAGAATAAAAAAGTGATAGTGCCTAAAAAGAGTGAGCACATAACAACTGCTAAGCTTCCATTTAAAGAAAGGCAGAATGTAACACTTACCCGAAGGAAGGCAGGACTCTGCGAGGCTGATCTCGGGTTACTGTCACTCTGATCTTTGGATAATCACTTATTCCATTAGGAGATTTATTACCTATTTTAAAAATGTATTTGTAATTGTAAAACAAAACAAAACACCAGTATTCATTAGAAAAGAAAATCTCTGAGCAATCTCCACTGCAGGACTTAATGTCTTATTTTTTCAAATTCTATTACTGTACAGCACAGAGGTCCAGCACAAGCTTTGTCAAATTAAAGGAAAAGCAATAGTACTTACTTTATTTTGCCATGTATAATGCACAGTTTTTTGCCCAAATTTGTGAGGGAAAAGTAAAGATGAGCATTATACATGGGTAGTACTAATTCCGTATCTATATAAATGCTTTTAATTCTTTTATTTATGCTTATGAGTTAAAAGTGTAACTCTAAAAATCAATAATGATATCTGTATGCAAAATAATACCTGGAATACATAATCAGTTTTGCTGAACTTACAACAACAAACAGTTCTTGGCCTTCTATGATGCATAAATATCATAAATTTGGTACCAGTACATAACATTTCTTGTACCTTGTATATGTTCTTGTGTTTTGTAATTATTTGTTACATAAAATTTCTTGTACCATAATATGTTAAAAAATAAATGCTAAAATTCCTGGGAGCCGGCCAAGTGGCGCGTTGGTTAGGAGTTGGCTTGGGACGCCAGCTCTGAGCAGCAGAGCCGCCGGTTCAGATCTCACATGGGCCAGTGACGCTGCGCCCTCTACAGCTAAGATAGTGAACAACAGCTCGACCTAGAGCTGGGCTGCCGCGAATCGCCAGCAACAACGTAGACTGCAGCCCCTGCTGCAGTGGGCTGCCGTGAGCTACCGTGAGTGGCTGGCAGCCAGCGAGAGCAGCCGTCCAATGGCCGGCCACAGATCTGCCTCAGCCGGGAAGAGCACAATGATCATAATACCAACATGGGCCAGTGAAGCAACATCCTCCACAACTAGACTGAAGAACAAAAGGACAGCAACTTGTCTGTTCCCCTTCTCCTATTCCCCAATGCTGTTCCCTCTCCCAATTCCCCAATAAAATCTTAAAAAAAAAAATTCCTTTATAATACAAAAAATAAGTACCTAAATGTAAACAAATAAAAATTTGAATTAAAAAATTAAAACAGAAGATTTTTTCCCTGAAAGTTTGGGCCAAAAACTTGAGTGCGCATTATACACGGGAGCACATTACACATGGCAAAAAACAATACAGTAGTTTGTCTTTGATCTCGATAGGCAATAACAATTCATAGGCACGCTTCTAGTTTTGCTTACTGGGACCAATGAGAGGCACGAAGAACTCAAGATTACAAACTCTCATCTGTAATCTAATGAAATTGAGTCAATTTTTCAAATTATTTCTTCTTCCCAAAAAAACAGAAGTATTTTTAAATGAAAACCTGACATGTTACTACATTTCATTGGAAGCTTCTAACACTTGTGAGATAGTTACTATACTTCAAAAAAGGTTCACTAAATTTTCATCAGCCGTATTTTCTGCTGTTGCTACTACAGGGGGTTGGAATTCTTAAGGACCCCAAAAGGCAGAGGTCGAAACCTGAAAACTTTTCATAAGTCACTAGCAGCGAAACCTAAACTGACCTAAATTCATTTGTTTCTAAAACCCGACTTGACCAATGCTCAATCCCAATGGGTGTTTTTTAATGATATTCAATAAACACAATATGTCTAAAACAGGAAAAATTCAGAATTCCCAAACACATCTGCAAGGGTTTCAGATTAGAGACTGTGGACTTCTTTATATAGGAATCCTGCCCTAGGAATTCCTGTGCTTCTCTGATTAGGCCACACGATCACAGAGAAATACTGGGGGTGCCAAAAAAAGGAATCCACATGACTTGTATTCATCTTTTGTTATCGGTATATATTAAGTATTACAATTTTAATGCAGCTTTTTCCTTACTTAAAATGTATATACACTTTTTTGGCACCCTCTCTACACTGCTGGTACCTTGGGCACAAAATAAGTCTACCATCCCTTCCCTATGTCAATTTTAATGGTAAATAATATTAAACATTTATATATTCCAACAACATGAATAGATTATTAAATTTAATTTGTATTAACTTTTAAAATGAAATGAAAGACTTCAAAGAAGTATCATCTTTGTCCCAAGTCCCTTAGAACTAGATTCTCAGACTCAGGGGTACATATTTATTTTCCTTTTCTCTGCCACCAGAAGTACTTTACTAAAAAAGTTTTAGAAGCACTCATCTGAGGTTTTTATCATTTCCTTAGCTTCTTCCGCTTTTGACTCCTGAATACACAACCTCTCTAAAAGCTCTTTTTCCCTTTCCTATCAAACTTTACAAATCTACCTGTGTGGCAGAGATCACAGTCATGTTCAGGACTCTTAGCTTCTTCCTATTTTCCCCCACCATTTTGTACAGTATATACAATAACTACAATTCAATTTAGGGGTTTGGATGATATAAAGATTCCTAATCCATAAAACTACAAGAACTGGGAGCCTAAGGTAGCTCACCAATCAGATCATGTCCCACAAGGGCAAGCGTACAATATTTTGTTATTATTTTATTTGTTTTGTTATTTTGTTATTAAATATTTTGTTTTTGTTATTCCTGATTAATTTAGCATAGTGCCTAGCACAGAGTAAGCGCTCAGGATTTTTTTTTTTTTTTTAATGAATGAAACTTGATCTAAGTCACATTAAGGACACCGATAATACAAATAAAAAACACAGCGGTAAATTCAAATACAGTTCTAAAGGAAACTATGTGCTTTTTAGAATGGCAGAGAGACTATGTGTTCTCATGGAAACACAAATCAGTGTTTTCCTTTCATATTCTCAAAACTCAGAAAAAAAGAGGCAGAAGGAGGTAGGGGAAGCAGAAATATTTTTGACCACCTCACCCAGTTTCAGCATGTTGTTCCAGGATCCAGAACCTGTCAGTTCACAAGATGAAGAGTTCGAAAATACCTTAAAATCAAATAGAATCGCCTCTGTAGTATCTAAATTTTAGAATTAAAATAAGTTTCTAATATGAACACAAAAAAAATCACTCTACCGGTGATTATTTAGCTAGCTCACAGAAGAGATATCATCAATAAGACCAAAGGTTTAATTTATAAAGACTCACAAAATGATGTAAAAAATAAAAATTCCAGAGTCTTCACACATACTTAGTAATTAGTCTCTTCATAAGTATTTTTTAGATGTGTAATTTCTTAACTTTTAATTTATGGGCCTATATATCAAGACTAATAAAGACACGAACATGTCTGGAAAGAAGTCATTCTACACATTAATTCCTAAAATGAGAATATTTCTAAAATGTAATTTTAATGATTAAGTACAGAAATCAGTAGCAACAAGAAGCCCAATCCCCACTGACCTCTCCTGCAGGCGCCACATTCCGTGTTCCATTACAAGCAGAGGTTACCATGGGCTTTGTGGTCAGCTGGAATGGGAATCCGAATAAGCTGGCAGCATTGTAGAGACTGTTTTTCACTTGGTGAATAAAGCAATCTAGAAAGTGTAATGTAGATTGCACATACATATAAATACAGAGTAATAAACGTCTAGCAAAAAAAATAAGATTGTATCTTAGAAAAGGCCTCTCAATTTTCATTAGAAGTCCTATTTTCAATCATTAAGATAAGAAGGTATCTGTAGAAATAATTTCTCTACCTGAATAATTGGAATTCCAGCATTGTGGTTTTTGTTTTTTTAGTAAAATATCAGGATGCTACAAAACCATGAAACCATCTCTTTAGCAAATCACACTGATACACACAAAGAAGTCCTGAAACAACAGCTTTCAAGCAATGAGCCCTCCCATGTATATAAAAAGAAATCTGTATCAGATAGACAGGGGCATAACTTAACAACCTGGAGCATATAGTCACTAGGCATGGCAGAATCCTACAGGAAACACTTATCATTTATTTCCAGGGCAGGTAACAATACAGTTGTCCTAAACAACTACTTACTAAGTGCTATTTTATCTTGGTCATCCCCAGGGTGGAAATTAGTGAAGTATAAGATATGTAATTCTCAACATCCATGATGAAACAACGCTATCCCTCTATACTGGAGAAGATGTGTTGGAAGATCTCAGACTCACCCCTCCGTGTCACCAAAACTACCGAAAATAAAGATGACAAAATAAGTAAATAAACAAAAGGGAGGAGGTAGATTTCAATGTTTTCCCAACTTCCTCTTTTTATCACTACCCCCTTTCTCACTTCCTGCATGGCTGATTTGTTTTTTACAAATTCTTTTCTATTTCCTAATTAAGGATATGCTAAAGCATTCATTTGAGAGAAAGAGATCATCATCCTAGCCACATTCTGCTTTTTTAAGCAACAAGCACTCCAGAATATATACGATATAAAATACTTTCTGGAAAGATAGGGACTAACTTAAACAACAGGGAGGATGTGATAGCTGGGTAAAGCAGAATCCAATTTGAAGTAAGTTGTAACTAGAGAATAGTTAGAAGAACCAAAATTTGCAAATGACCTGTTTCTCATTTTAGGAATTAGAAAGAATTCCATGTTATCCCTCTAATAATGTTGAGCTTTAAATGGAAAAAAAAAGAGCTTTGAGGATTGGTGCTTAACCCGCAGACTGTCATACAAACCCAGAGGACAAGAGGCATTCTTAACATAGTTAAATAGTGGACACTGAAAAGTACTATATTTATTTTCCTACAAATTTTGTCAAAATCTGGGAATGCCAAAGATTATGTCAAAAGATCTCATTGACTTTAAAAAAAAAAAGGCCTGCCTCATCTGTAACATGGAAAAGACCACCCTATTTTCCTAGGACTAGACTAGGATCTCTTAAAATTTTTCATCTATGATCTAAGGTCCTCTTTCTTTTCTCTTACCCTTCCTGCTTTTTTCTTTTCCTCAAAAGCAACCAATTGAGTTGTACTGTCCAATATAGTAGCCAGTAGACACATGTAGGTTACCTAAGTTTAAATTTAAATGAAATTAAATTCAGTTCCTCAGTTGCACTAACCCCATTGCAAGTGCTCCATAGCCATCATGGTAGAGAATTCTATTGGACAGCACTGCTACAGACCTTTCCAAACTCTGCCAGGAAGGGTTACCCTTGGTTCACCCATGGCTTAGGTTCCCTTCTATAGTTTCCATTCAGAAAATCATAATACATATTTCATGAAAATCATGGAGGGAGAGATCCTTAACATACAAGTCCATAAAATGGATAACTGCCAGAATTATTTCAGGAACTTTCTGTAATTCCACTGTCAAAGTTTTTTGTTTTTTTTTTTTTTACCACATACAGCTATTTATTTATATTTTTCTTTAAAACTGACTCACATTTTTTGCTAAATAAATGTATTTGAAAGGTAATTTTATATTGCAATTATGAATGTAAAGCAACATTATTTGCCTTATAATGAAATGAAAGCACAACAATATTAGGTTCTAGCTGTGCCTATTAAAAAAAGAAAGATTAGCATGTAGCTTGACCTTTGAACAACACAGGTTTGAACTGTGCGAATCCACTTATACATGGGTTTTTCTCAATAAATACTGTAAATGTATTTTCTCTTCCTTATGATTTTCTTAACATTTTCTTTTCTCTAGCTTATTTTATTGTAAAAGTACAGTGTATAATATTTATGACAATAAAATATGGGTTCATCAATTATTTATTGCTAAGGTTAAATCTGGGGAAAGTCAAAAGTTATACTCGGATTTTTAACTTCGGGCTGGGGGGAATCAGCAACCCTAACGCCATGTTGTTCAAGGGTCAACTATATTAAACAAATATTGGAGACATACTAGCATTCAATCAAGATTTTCTGCTTAAAATAACTGAAAAGGATACAACTTTTTTAGCATGTAACAATTCAAATGTTACTTAATGCTATGAACACTGTATCTCCTAAAATTATTTCCTGACTGGTATCTATCCTGTGCTTTGGAAAATATTGTCCTAATGAATTTGGATATTCCTGGCATTCAAAATCCTCCATAATTTGACCTCTCTCTTGCTAACTTTTTTCCTGAGTTCTACTCACTATTTCCTGAATTGCATAACTTTCCAATACTATTCCCTCTACCTAGAAAGTTTTGCCTTCCTATTGCTCTTTAATATTCTATTCACCCTTCAAGATACTAGCTCCTTCATCAAATATTCACTGAGATTCTTAACCAGCTAAAAATTGGACAGTATTTTATTACCTTTCTTATTTCATTTTTATATCTTCATTGACATTGGTATTATTTATGTGCTTGTCTTATATCCCCCACTATATAATCATATACCCCTACAATTATAAGGTCCTTAAAAATAGAGACCTTGTCTTACTCATTTTTGTATTTCCCGTAGAACCTAAGACACTACTTAGCAATAAAACATGTTCAGTAAGTACTCATTGGGTTTAAATGAAATCATAATATCGACATGTCCCCTCTTAATGACCACATCTAGAGGTATATCTAAATTCACATGCATTTTTGAGAAAGAGGAAAATATTATTATTATTATAGTATTCCATTGTGCCTTTCTCCTTTAATCTAATTTTATTCTCTTCTACCAAGCGATGTATAGCCCTTCAGATTATAGGGAAGTAAATAATTTGAAGCAACACATTAGATTGCTTCATTCAGCTATATGACTAGATGATTCAGTTTGAAGTAGCTTTTACAATGTCTTCTCTTCAAATTTAAAAAGCACCTTTTCTTTATAGGAAGATTGAGAATTTAAAATGTATATTCAACATACAGGCTTATCTATCTGAAAAGATACTTAATTCCCAAGTAATAGTGTTTACCTCCAGAAGATAACTGAGTAGTAGGAAAGACTTACTTTTCAATGCATATACTTTTTACCTTTTAAATTCTGTTCCATGCATATAGTTCTCCTATTAAAAAATGAATTTTTAAAATTAATATTCAATACCTAGTCTTGGTCTTTTGGCTGGTATCTCATCAGTGTCTGCTGTAGAAAACACAGTGCTAAAAAAAGAGAAGAGAAAAAAAAAACATATATATATACACATATAAGAAGCTTTAATAGTGAACCAGAAAAGCTGTTATATTTAACTACATTTCCCCCCCCCTGGAAACTATATTACAGTCGTAATAAAGAGTTTGAAAATTCAGGGCCGGCTGAGTGGCTCAGTTGGTTAAGAGCTCGCTCAAGAGTTTGAGCTCTGAGCAACAGTGGTTCGAGTCAGCCCGAGCTGAGCAGCCGTGAGCTGCCAACAGGTGGTGGGATGGCTCAGCTAAAAAAAAAAAAAACAAACAAACAAACAAAAAAAAAGAGTTTGAAAATTCAACAAGTTATTGGACCTATACCTTAACAATGTTAAAGGTTCATGGTACACTACTAATCACCTTTCTAAAAATGATTATGACTGATGATATTTATCAAAAAAAACGGAACAGAATAAATCCCAGGAGACTACCATTGAGTTCATTATTTTGAACATCCCGACAAGACTCCTGGCTTCATTTTGACTAAAAAATGGCTCACATTGAGAAAAGCTGTTTTTAGATCAACCGATGTGTAACGTACAGGGGTTTTTTTTGTTGTTGTTTTTTTTACCTCCAAACCATTGTTTCCCTGACTAGCAGTGATTGGTAGCAAAAAGAGAGAACACGGGAGAGCAAATTAACATTTCCTTATTCAGGAAACATGTACCAAGTGCCTATCAAGCAACAACCTCTGCACAAGGCCCTCGGGGTAGAATAAACAAATACTACCCTTATATATAGCATTAAGCATCATTCTAGGCACTTTACAACATGTTCTCAAATGATCCTTATGTCAACCCTACAAAAAGGTGGAAAGGAAGAATAAGTTGCCCTCTCTGGAACACATAATGAAATTTAGCCAACCGTCAATTTCATCAGTGATCTGCGTTCTCAGACTCCTGTATTAATCATCTTATTCTCTCAAACTGCAAAAAAAAAACACTTTTCAATGATCTTTAAGTTTAGTAAAAAAATGAAATTAACATCTGATCACTAAAAGTTGGGCGGGGGGAGGTATACAATTGGTATATTTATCCTCTAGATTAATTCTTAGGCAAGGGGATACACACTATGAAATGGGACAAGCCAATGGGTATATGCTAAGGAAGAAGAGCTTTTAGTTTCCCCAAATTTGTAACTGAAATTTAGAGTACCGACTAGTGATCTTTTTAAAAGAATGCGGTACCTATTTTTTTTTCATGCACCAATTCTAAAGCACAGAACCACTCTCCCTCCCTCTCTCCCCAACACACACACACACACACACACACACACACACACACACACACACACACACACAGTTTGACAGCTGTTTCAGAACAAGACAGCTGCTGTCTCGTTTCTAAGAGAACAGTACTTGCAGTCAAAACGGCTTTGGGCAAGTTATCAATCTTAACTGCACTTATTGCCCAAAGACGACACTTGGGAGTGTGCTTTGTAAACAGTGCGCCAAAACGAATTTTTAGGTTTCAATCTAAGAGCGGCAACAAATGATACAGACCCATGTGTGGACCGGAAACAGCGTGGACTCTGACAAGAGCATCGCAGCTCCTACCATCACCGGCCACTCCAAAGACAACTAGCTCTTCCCATCCTTAAGAGCCGCATCCACACAGAGTGGAGGAAGCGACTACGTCACCAGGCAACCCCGCGACCCGCACCTCTACTGCCTCGGCCCAGGGGCGCGTTTCGGCGGAGCGGGGCCTGCCCGGCTGGATCAGCGCTCTCCCAGCCGAGCCCGGGGTGGGGGAGGGGGGGCACACAGGCCAGCACTCAGCCCCCTCTCCTCTCACCTGTTCGAGCGCCGCCTCTTCAGGAGGGCCCGGGCAGGGGGCACCGGCCGGTCACAGAAGCGGAAAATGGTGCCGAGAATCCTAACCAGCCATTTGTACATACCAGGCCCAAGCAGCAGCGGCGGCCGACACACCCCGAGACACAATCCCCAGAGCTGTCGCCGCCGCTGCCGCCTTCGCCGCCTCAGCCACCACAGCCAAGGTTCAGTCGCCGATTTGTGACGCGATCTGAAGGCCCACAGATATAGCGTCCCCAGGGCTACAGGAGGCCCCCTCCTGCCACCGTTCTTGACGTCACCTCCTCCCATCCGACCGGAAAGCATCTTCCTCCTCAACCTGCGCACGCGCAACCTAACACACAAACACACACACACACACACACACAGCTGGACACACACACACACACACACACACACACACACCACCTCCCTAACCTAGCAACCAGGATGCCTGCGTAGCGGCCCAATCATTGACGAGATCGAAAGGGATGTGGGCGGGGTTTTCTCTTCAGCGGATCCAATCCTGAGCCGGCCCACGGGACAAGGCCCACAGGCTACACGTGAGGCTTCTCCACCTGGAGGGAGCGCTCCAGGGGACTGAAATACAGTAAATGTTTGAATACACAAAATAAAGGTAGGTTAGGTTAATCAATAAATGTTTACTATATTAGGAGCCCTTTATTTTGCTTGTGACTTGTACTTGACATGCATTGTCACCTTCATTTGTCCCAGCAACTGCAGGCAATGGAGAGTCTTGTCCCATATTTAATAAATAAGAAAACCGAGGCATAGAGCGCTTAAGTTATTTGCCTAAGGTCACAAAGATAGCTAGTGCCATAGCTGGAATTTGAACTAGGGTCTGAGAACCAGCGCCAATCCCTCACCCTTAATGTCTACTGAGAGACAAATTACGAGATAATTGGCTGCTCTGATAAAGGTGTGTACAAAGTGCAGTAGGAGCCAGAGAAAGAAAACCCACAGGCTGAGAGAAAGGAAGGGCAGAGCTCCAGGATGGCTTCACAGAAGCTGAAGAATGAAAAGGTAGCTGTGGCTTACTAATACCTACTAGTCTCCCCCTGGGCTGGCAGAGAGTGTTGCTAATTACTCTCTGGTATCTAGAAGTCACATTTTTGGTTAATTATCAACAACAGAAAGAGTCCTACCCTACTTAGTGATAGAAAATCCAGTTCCACTCCCAAACAATTCTGGGAATATTCAAAGGTTTTCATGCCCCTCAAATCCATCCTTGACTGCACTTGATCCTTACTTATGATTAAGGCCAGACTTCTAGACTTGCTTGAACTTTCAACACAGGCACTCTCCAGTAAAGCAGGGTTCCGGAATTCTGCTTCAAGCCACCCCCTACAGCTCCAGAACCACCAGCCACCCATCTGTGGCTTCCGCCACTCTGGCTTAGGGGGTGGGGTGGAAGGGGAGCTTAGGGGATAGGGGTGGGGGACAGGTAGTTCCTAGAGGGTGGAAGCAAATCCTATATGTGGACATAGGCCCCTCTCTTAATTCCCTAAAGCACAGCTAACATCAGGATGTTATTGGAAATTTGGAAATACTGTAAGAGAAGAATTACAAAGCCTCGAAGAAGATTTAGAAGTGGCTATTATAAGTATTATAAGATAGCCCATTGCTTTCCAAAAGGACTCTTCTCAACAAAAGAATCCCCCTCCACCTCTACCCCAACCCATTTCGGGCCGATTCTGTGAACCTAAGACTAACGTTGATATTATTATGCAGAGCAGTTCAGCTGTGTCCCAACTGTCCATTCCACTATAAGAGCTGGTCCTTGCTTTTGCCAAACCAAGAAAATGCCACTCAAGTATTGGAAAGAGAGTCCACAAAACAAAAAAAACAGTCTTTGTTCAAAAAATAAATCATAAAAACTGCAAGCTGCTGTACAATATCAACTTCTCCCAAGTTCTGACCACCAAGATTTAAGAAATATTAGCATCAGGCTGGTCGAGTGGCGCGTTGGTTAAGAGATGGCGTGGGATGCCAGTTCTGAGCAGCAGAGCCCTGGTTCGGATCCCACATCAGGGCTAGTGACACTGCCCTCTATAGCTAAGATGGTGAACAACAGCTAGACCTGGGTTGCCGTGAGTCGCAGGTGACAACGTAGGCTGCAGCCCGTGCTGCAGTGGGTTGCCATAAGCTACCGTGTGTGGCTGGCAGCCAGTGTGAATGGCAGGCAGCCGGCATGAGCTGCCAAGAGCCACCGTGAGCTGCCGACCAATGACCGGCGACCGATCTGCCTCACCCAGGAAGAGCACATTGATAACACCAACATGGGCCAGTGAAGCGACATCCTCCACAACTAGACTGAAGAACAACAACAAAAAAACCCCAGCAATTTGTCTACCTGTCTGTATCCCTTCCCCAATTCCCCAACGCTGTTCCCCTCCCCCCAACTCCCCAATAAAATCTTTAAAAAAAAAACCTAAAAAAAACCATAGGCCAGTGAAGTGACATCCTCTACAACTAGACTGAAGAACAAAATGACAGCAACTTGTCTGTTCCCCTTCCCCCAACTCCCCAGCGCTATTCCACTCCCCGAATTCCCCAATAAAATCTTTAAAAAGAAAAAAAGAAATATTAGCATCAAGTCTCAGAGCACTCTAGTATGACACCACATTTTTTTTTCTACCTCATCAATAGTACCTGCACATACCCAATACTGAAATGTCAGTCACCCGCCATTAAAAGTGGGAGGGCTTTGGAATTACAGACCTCAGTCTGAATACCTGGGCTTCATCAGCAAATATTGGGCTGTCGGAAAAGTCATGATGTATTTTGTCAATGTTTTTCAAAGGTCATTTATTTATATAAAGAACAAAGATCAATCAATTATATGTTGCCTGTTTTGTTCAATAACCTTTTGCCATCTTTCAGTAAGCTTCATAATTCCTCATTCATAGAAGGACCTGTCTTTATTTGCAAAAAACAAGGTGCTGATTTACAGCCTCCTCTGAATTGAATGTTATACCACGCAAGGAGTTTTGAAGAGAGCGAAACAAGTGGAAGTCTGA